ATGAATAACTACTATGAAGACAACAATATGTGATGTATTAATTATTGAAACTGCCCTACTAATTGGTTTGGAAACTGTCCCATATATATATATATGCAGCTCAGAACCACTTCATGATGGTCTCCATTAGAAAAGAATAAAATAAGACTCTGTACATGTGCTTGAAGTGGACTTGTGGGCGTAGGACGGGCTGTGTACATGCAGCCTATCTTCTGCAAACCTCACAGCAACCACAAAGTAGAAATCTACAAAAGACACGGGGAGTGAAGAGGAGACGTGGTCAAGCAGGGCACCTCAGAGGAGCACTGCTGCATGATATGAACTTTGAAAAGGGGTTGGACGGTAGCTCAGTGGTAGAGCACTTTCCTAGAATGTTTGAGGGCCTGAGTTGAATGAATAGCAAGCAAGTTAAAATAAAAATATATGCAGCTTATAGTCAGATATTGCCTGAGTTCTCCTAAAGCCCTGAGTGCTGTCCGGTGCTGTGGGCGTCTTCCCTCCCTGTCCCTGACCTTCGCAGAGGTTTATCCAGTCAGGGCTCAGCCCTCTTCTCGTCTCTGCTCTTCTCCACCTGCAGCAGGAACCTGTGTCTTCCGCTGAGCATCTCCAGGCCTGGGGGAGGACGGCCCCAGTGAGGATGACTGTGCTGCGTAGGTGGACGTGGCTGAGGGAGGGAGGGAGGGAAGGAGCAGTGGGGAGGCTGTGGTGTTCTGAGGATTCCGTGTATTATTGTGGCGGAGTCTGTAAATCCCACAAGCATTTTCTGGAGCACCCCTGTGGGGGCCAATACACAGAGGAACAGGGCCACACCGTGAAGGGAGCCAGGGCACTCCGTCTTCCTTCAAGCTCCCAGACTCCAGAGAAAGGCAGCCCTTGGAGAAGGGCACAGAGCACGGAATGCGTGCGGGGGTGGTGGCGGTGTTTATCTGGATCAGGAAAGGAGTGTGAAGGTCACCGGAGCCTGCACCGGGCAAGATTCCCTTCTCTTCTCCAGACCCCACAGCGTTCCACTCTGCACGCAGCCCATGTGCAGCTGTTCACCCGGCTGTGGAAATCTCCATGGTTTCCACGGCTCTGCAGTCATAGTTCCGCCGAGGACCACAGGAGTGAAGCTCTCTCCTCCACATACTCATGCCCCTTCCTTTAGATACTCACCCAGAAAGTGCACTGCTAGACCCTACGGCAGCCGGGTTGTGCAACATTTTGCAGCACCTCCTTCCGCTATCGCTCAGCAATGGCACCGTTTGCACTCCTAGCTTCAGCGGGTCAGGGATCTGTCATGAGAGATGGGACAAGGGCTCGGTTCTGAGAAGGGAGACTCAGCTGAGAGCCTTTGAGACTCTCATCTCTAGGAGGTGTGCTCCTTGTGATTACTGTCACGCTGGGCTTTATCAGGGACCGCAGTCCTCACACTGGCAGGAGCAAACCGTGGTTCCCATTTTCAGTGTGAGGAAGTGCTGGCTATTGTGTCGCAACACCCTGCCCAGGGCCACTACTATGCTGTCTTGAGGATTCACTCAGAGCCACCTTCTGAAGGGAAGGTGGCTTCTGCCCCTGGGGAGTGAAGGTCAAGAGAGGGGAGGCCGAACGCCTCCTTTCTCTGAGTGAGGCTGCGAGGGAGAGTCTGTCTGGGTCTGATTCACGGCTTCTTGGCCCTGTCTGTCCAGGCCTCTGTATCTGAGGCCATGTCCCCTTGGCTCCCCTCCCTTCTGGCCCTTGGTGAGTCGGGGACAATAGGAGGGTTGGAGGGACCGAGGCAGGAGACTTAGGGAAGGGGTCCTGATCCCTGCTCAGCCTGACACCAGCCAGGAGGTTGGGGGTTCAGCAGGAGCCCTCTGGCTACCCCTCCATTCCTGCCGGACTCAAGGGGCAGCAGAGGACTTGGTCCTAGAAACAGTTCCCTGGGTGCGCAGCAGGCTGGGTGCTGGAAGGGCTGGGGAGGGCAGAACCCATCTGCTGGGGTCTGGGAGTCTTCTGGAGCAAGCAGGGTCAGGGCCCGTGTCCCGGTGAGGTGGGGTGGTTTGGTAAGTGTGGGAGCCCCTGCTGCTCCAGCCTTCAGCACCCTGCCGCTGGGTGTTTCTAACTGCGCTTCTCTTCCAGGGCTCTGCCTGGGCCACAAGATCCTCACAGCGGAGGGTGAGTCCTGTTAACTCTGCTAGGCAGCAGGGAGCTGGCCTCTGGGCGGGGGTGTCCTCCCTCGGTTCCCACTTGTGAAATGGGAAATATGTAGCTTACACATTTCTTACCTTTTTTTTTTTTTATTGAGGGAAGGTAGTGCCTTGTTTTGCAGTTTAGGCTGATCTTGAACTTACTATGTAGCCAAGGAACTCTCGACGATCCTCCTGTCTCAGCCTCCAGAGTGCTGGGATTAGCACTCTGCCACCATGTTCATCTCGATCATGGTTTGTGTTTGTTGTTTTTTTGTTTTCAAAAGAGAAATAGGAATTGTTTGTACTTAAACTTCACTGAACAATGCGTTTATATAATGTCCATATTTGGGAGCATTGAGTTAGGTTCCTATCCGTCTCCATAGGCTTATTTTCGTGGTGACATGTCACGGCTGCCCTCTGAGCCGTCTGAAATGTGCCCTGTGTCACTGTGAGCCGCAGCCAGCCTGCCCCGCCCACCCTAGGTCTCAGGAGCTCCCCATCTGCCCTAAGTGCCCCTCTTGCCTGTGAGCCAGTGTGGCTCCTTCCCATCCAGGGCCTCCCCTGGCCTCTGGGAGCCGCAGCTCCCCCTCAGCTCCTGACTCCACAGGAGGAGATGAGGTTCTGCGGTGCTTGCCCTGCGCTGGCTCAGCCCACCTGGCACGATGCCTGTGTGCCCATCCAGTGTCACCGAGCCCAGAGGTCTTTTCTCCCTGAAGAACGAGGGACGTAGCACTCTGCCTGCCCCACACTCCCTTGGCCCACTCGTCCTCAGACTCTTGGGCTGATCTGTCTCTCAGGTGAGGTGACTAGCACAGCAGTGACCATGGGGCGCAGGTGCCCTGGTGACACGCTGGTGTCCTCAGAGGGGATGTAGCCCCAGTGTGGCCCAGGCTGAGCCCTTGATTCTTGAACTACTTGGGGAACCAGACTTGTCCCAGCTCCTCAGGAGCAGGAGCAGGAGGCCCCAGCTGAGCGGGGCCCCAGTGCTCTGTCTTACATTCCATGATATTCCAATTTCATTGAAAGGCTTGTGTGTACATTGTTGTTGATATAAAGTACTCCTCCTCCTCCTCAGACGCTTGCCAAGGTTTAGCTTCAGACAGAAGCAGCACGGCTCAGCTCTCAGGTCCGGGCCCGGCTGTCCCCTGCGCACTTCCTTCTGCCCGTCAGGCTGGGGCGCTTGTCCCTAGATATCTGGACTTTCTACCACTTTTTCAGAGGCACAAGCTGCGCTCAGCTCGCAGGCTGAGCTTTATTTTATTTGATATTTCGGTGCCAGGACGTGAACTCAGGAGCGTGCGCTTCCCGGGCCTGCGCTTGTGCACTGAGCTATCTCTCTGTCTCAGGCTGAATTTTAAATTGGCCAACAAGCCTGCACCGGTTTACCATGTACAGCATGACCGTTTGCAGCAAGTAGACATCATGTAAAGAGCCAGCCAGCACACACATTACCTGGTGCATCTTCTTCCATGCTGAGAGCGCTGTAAATTGCCTCTGAGTGATGGGCAAGACCATGACTCCCCATTAGGCCACAGTGTCCGGGTGCCTGGTGGGTCTCCCGGCCTCCTCCTCCTGTCTAGGGGGAGCTCAGTGTCCTCTGGCAACCCTGGCAGGTGGCCATTCCACCTTGCTGTCCCTGGGTGCTCAGCACAGTGAACCCCTCCTGCCCTGGGCTCAGCGGGGTGCCCTTCCCCAGCACCCAAGGTGGGCAGCCCCTCCCTCCTGGGCCAGGTTCCTGCCCTCGCCAGGACGCTCATCTCGGGTGCAGCTGGGCATGGGAACAGTTATCTGTCCATGTCTGGCTCTGCCCAGTGTCCTTTCCAAGGTCAGGGACTGTGTCCTGGCTTCCTACACTTGTGGAACTATGACTCAGGGAAGGAGACCTGGGGCAAAGAGGGGCTGCCATGTGGTTGGAAGGACAGTGGAAGGAGGAGCAGGGGCCCCCTCCCAGGCACGACCTGTCGCAGCTTGCCTGGGGCCCTGGTTCCTGGATACCTATACCCTTGTCCAACGGTGCACAATTTCAGCTGGAGTGAGTCCAGACCATTCAAGCAACATGGTTTATGAGACCTACGGTGTGCTTGAAAATCACAAGAGTGAAAAAAAACCTCCTAGTGTTCTACCCACACAGCAGTGGGAGGATGTGAGGAGTGCGTGTGTACGTGAGCCCGACTTACCATTCCTCAATGAAGGCTTACAGGAACGCAGCCTATAACGTGCTGTGCAGCCCACGCATGTGCGACTGGCATCTCCATATTTAGTCGACACCTCTTATGTGTATGTATTTATACGTCAGGTGCAAGGATGAAATCTGAGTCATCAGCTTTTGTGTGTCAGTAGGAAAGAGTGACCATGAATGTGGGTGACCCTCTACCAGCTCCTGACTCTTACAGAGCTTGCTCTTATGGGGATACTAGCTCATTGTCCCTAGCTCCACCTCAGGTGGGACAATGAGGAAATAGAGACGAGGCTGAGATGAGCACAGGAAGCCCGGAGGGATCCCCAGGGGGGCTGCCCCACAGGCCCTGGGCAGTGGCCAGGGGCAGGAGGGGAGCGGTTCACATCAGACACCCCAAAGGACCCATTGTGCTCATTTTGAGGGTTCTGGGAGATCCAAGCCAGGCCTCAGCATTGCTCTGACTGGGATCCAAAATTGTGAGGGTACAGGGGTGAGAACTGGGGTGCAAACCTGTGAGTTGCATTGGCTCACAGCTGCGCAGCTCTGTAAGTCTGCCAGGATCTCCGTGTGGTGCCCCACATCAGCTCTGTGTGTGATGATTTCCACTCAGGGGACACTGAGGTCTGCTCTGCTTCCTTTAGGGCTCCTGCCTGCACCCTCCATCTCTGTAGAACCAGGCCGTGTGACACGCAGAGGGAGCACTGTGACCATCGTCTGCCGAGCCCAGTGGGGCTTTGAGAGCTTCCTCCTGGAGAAGTGTTCTGCGGGGAGTTATACCTTAGTTCAGGAAGTGGGAAACACTGCAACTTCCAACAATGTGGCCAGGTTCTACCTCACCTTGATGAATACTGGGCGTTATGCCTGCATCTATCAGAAGTGGTCCACTTGGTCTTCACGCAGTGAGATCTTGGAGCTGGAAGTGACCAGTACAGATGTCACCCAGACCTCCATGCTTCCAGCCTCAACTGTACCCTCAGGTTTGTCCCCAGCTATCTGTACCATGTCCCCAGGTGCTTTCCTCTGTCTCCCATCCCCTCCTCCTGACTATAAGCCCTCTCCCCCATTCTTGGTGCTCCTGTCCATTAGGCCTCCCTGCCCCTTGCTCCCTGAAGTCCTGGTCTCACTGGACACCTGCATGGGGTGCGCATTGAGCTTGCCCTGCTGGCTGGGTGGGTAGTATGTCCCTAGAGCTGCTGGGGCAGATCCCCTAAGAGAGCGAGTGTTGCTTCCCTGGGCCTGCTTGTTCTGCATCTTTTCCAGGAGACAGAACCTTTCATGGCCCCAGCAATATGTCCCCTCTGGTTGGGTCCCTCCCATACACTGGGCAGGGCTCATGGTCCAGGGGTGGACCTGAACCTGGTCACATGGTGCTTTGGGAGAATCTTGGGATGGGATGGCCCATGTCGTTTTGTGGTCAGCTCCGGAGAGGTCCTAGGTCAGGGCCTGGCGAGGAGGTCCCGTCCTCCTCTATTGCTGCCAGGGCTCCAGAGCTGCTGTCCACAGAGCACCTGTGCGGTCAGCTGAGCACGTGGTGGGCGGGGCAGAGGGGCGGCTGCCCCAGCAGGTGGAGCAGCACAGGGCATGGCTCCCTCTCCTGCTTCTCTGTTCTGCTCTCTGCAGAGAACTGGGGCAGAGTCTGGTGGAGTCTAAGCAGCTGTCCCCACTCTGAATCCTGCTGCGGCCCCGGAGACTTCAGTCCCCTGAGTGGGGCCCTGCTTCTGTGGAGGTCACTAAGTGCCCTCTGCCCTGGGGTTCACTGGCCTCTCTGTGCTGGGATTGATGGTCAGGACTAAGCATCAGAAGACCGCCTCCGGGGACTGGCCTCACCAGTGAGGGGACGTCCCTGGTACTCAGGGCTGTGCAGCAGGCTCTGCCTATGTATCCAACAGCAGCGACCCCAGCGGGGTGAGGCAGCCTGGCCTCTCACACCTCATCTTGTTTTGAAAATGTGGGTAATAAAATGTGGGTGATTTAAACGGGCACAAGGGTCTGGGGAGATAGCTCAGTGGTCTAAGCACCTGCCTGGCAAGCACAAGGACTGGGGTTCAATCTCCAGTAGTGGGTGTGGTGGCACATGCTTGTAATCCCAGCACTGGGGAAGCTGAGACAGGAAGATCACTACGAGTCTGAGCTGTGAAGTGAGACCCTGTACCAAATAAATAAACAAAAGATTAGGAAGATATGTAAAGTGTGGACAAGGGTCTATGAGGGCTGCGAGCACACAGCACTGCCCTGGGCAGTTCGGGCCTCTGACTTCTCGGTGGACTCCACCTCCCCAAGAGCTACATAGACACCAGTGGATGACAGTCACCTTGGTGAGTCACGGTGACTCCAGTTCACAGCCCGGGGTGTGCCGTGGGAAGGGGAGGCTCCTGCTGTTGGCTGCTGACCACTGTGCACCCTGAGAGTGGCTGGGCGTGCGGGAGGCAGGGTCTCCATGCTCTAAGGCTGCTGCGCTGCTGAGGTCTCCCACAGAAGCCTGTCCGTGACAGGCACCCACTGTGAGTGCGTTCAGGACGTGCCCCGTGGGGGCTCTGCTGGTGACCCGGCTCCGTCTCCCTAGCCACCCCTGGGCTGAAAGCGGAGCACCTTTACCTCCTCATCGGTGCCTCCGTGGGTATCCTGCTCCTGCTCCTCCTACTCCTCCTCTTCTGCCTGCGTCGCCGGCGTCAGAATAAACAGGGTAGGTCTCGGGGTGAGAGAAGGTTGTCCCAGGCTGGCTGTTGGGGTGCTGGGAACAAGGCCTCCCTAACCTGCACCCCTGACTGTCTTCAGGGCCACCCAGACAACAGGACCAGAGGCAGAGGTCTCAGGAGAGGTGTGTCCCCCAACCCCGTGACCCCACCTCTCCCGGTGTTCTGCCCCAGCCTGCCCTAATCTGGTTGTTCTCCTCCCTCAGGTGTAGCCTGGCTGGGGTCAGCCTCGGGAGGACAGCAGGTAAATGGGCTGGGAGAGGCATGAGAGGGGCCCTCGGTGGGTCAGCAGGTGGAGGGTGAAGAGGCTTCTGGGAGCGTTCTAGGAGGTGTTGGGTGGGATGCAGGGCCTGGGCACATTGGCCCTCTGAGGTCCACTTGAGGTCTGACCACATGTCTTCTCCTCCCCAGACCAGGCCGCAGCTGACCGACCTCTTCCGCGGGGCAGACAGCAGGGCCCCTCCGTAAGTCCCGGGATGGGTTATGGATACCGCGGAACCAAGAACCCGCTTAGCAGGGCTCGAATCCACCTGGGTCAGGGACTCCGGGAAGCTGAGCTGGTGGCCTGGCTTGCGGTCTGCTTAGGGTTGCAGAGGAAGTCGGCCGGGGCTGTGCTCGCCACTAGGGCTGGCGCCTGCGTCCAGCTGGAGGCCTGTCCAGGAAGTGACCTGCTGTTGCCTGCCCATTCCACTGGTGGCAGGAGCAACGTTGGTGCCGTGGGAGGGGCCGGCATAGCGGCAGGATTGCAGAATGTGGGGTCCTCAGCCCCTGACACCCTCACCTGGTCTCTCCACAGACCCCGCTACAGGGCCCCCAAGAGGTGACCTATGCTCAGCTGGACCACCGAGCCCTCACATTGAGGGGGGCTCCAGAGGTGTCCCCACAGTCCACGGTGGAGTCCAGCACCTACGCTGTCCTTGCCCACCAAAGACCTAGCCCACGTGGCCCCTGCACCTGAGGCCTCAGGAAGTCACTCTGGACAGCCTGCAGCACCAGGAGGGCTTCCCTTGGGAGCACCCGGGTCTCGGGGGCAGGAGGGCCGCTCCCCTGGAGTGGGAGCTGTAGCTGGACGGCCCTACCAGTGGCCAGGAGACTGGATCCCCGGGGTCCCTGCCACAGAGACAGTCCTAAGAGAAAGGGTGCTGCAGCTGCCTCCAGGGATTCCTGGCTGTTTCTAGAGACCCAGCTAAGACCCCAGCTGTCTCCTGGGACCTGCACTTCACAAAGACGCCCCGCTGGAGATCTGCGCAGCTGACCCTGATTCTCCCAAGTGCCCTGCTGACCCCAAGGCGGCACTGTGCTGGCGCAGCTGAGCTGGGCCCGTCCTCCAGCTCAGGCCCCACCTGGGCTCTGGAGTCACCGAGAGGACTCAATGAACGTGCGGCACAGAGACTGTACAACCAGGCCCAGGGATCCGCACCCCTGCTCCTCGCAGCGCCAACTCCTGTCTGTGACCCTGGGGTCCCTGTGACCGTGGCCGCTGGTCGGGTGAAGGAGGCGGCGTCGGAGGACAGGGGCTGGGTGCAGGCCGAGTTGCCCCTTCACACTCCTGCGCACACTTGCGCATGCGCACATGACACACGCGCACCATCCACATGCATCCGCAAGGTGCGCGCTTCCTCGCTCAGGTAATTCCCCAAACGGCCGCGAGGAGGCGCACGCGTATCATCCGCACTTTGTGCTTCGCTTTAAAAAAGAAATCAGAAATGAAAGGTTGGAATGGTTAGAGCCTAAATGGTTTGTTCAATTTTGCACGCCTATATCTGGCAATCTCAGCCTCTACTTTAAGATAACAATATGCAACACAATAACCATTGTTAATTTCCTGTCATCTTGTTTTGGAATTCTGTATTGTTTTTGTTTTTTCTTCTTTCTTTAAAATAAATAATAATAAAAAAGGGCCAGTCAGATAGTTCAGCAGATTAAAGCGTTTGCTTTGGGGCTGGGGAGATGGAATGGAATAAGCGCTTCCCTTGGCAAGGACCTGAGTTCAATCCCTGGTTCCAAAAAAAAAAAAAAAAAAAAAAACGCTTGCTTGGGCAGATGCAGGGATCAGATCTGACCCCCAGTGTGACGTGCCGGCCCCGCCCCAGGGGTGTGTAGAGATGGTGACTGGGACTGGGCATGGTGGCACGCTCCTGTAATCACAGCACTTGGGAGGCTGAAAACACGAGGATCACTGTGAGTCTAATTCGTGTCGTTAGATCTTGTAAACCCTGTACTAAATAAAATAAAATAAAAAAAGGAAGATTTCTGTGTCTTTTTTAAAACATAGGAAACCTTTCGTGGAAAGCCAGATGACTGTGGCTTCTGCGGGTTGTGGTTGGGGGTGCAGACTCGGACACACGGCGAACTATCAGATTGCACCCCATAAAGATCGAGCGCACATGCACAAATGCACGGGGGTGAGCACGTGTGTGCATATGACATTTGTATATATTAGTATACTATTTGATTACTAAAGAGTGCAAAAACCCACTGAAATAGAGACCTGCGAGCCTGCCGCACGACTAGCATTTTGTTGTGTGTGTGAGAATCCCCGTCGTTTCTCTTGGGCACCGGGAAAGACTTTAAGAATCTAGATCTTACACAAGGACATTATCACCCAGCAGTACGGGGGTGACAATGTAATCTGCTGACCACCGTGGGGGCTGTTCTGCAATAATGCTATTGAAAATCAATTTTATAGCTAAAAACGTAAGTAGAGTCTCAGAAGAAAAGGCTCAGATTCCTCTTGGGAGCGGAATACTTGGGATGCAGTATTACACTCAATAGGGTGTAATAGGGAATGAGCTGAGTACGGATACGGGCCACCTGGGATCTCGGATCTCCTGTCACCAAGCTACGGCTTCACTATTCGGCCCGCTGAGCTGGCCACTGAGGCTGGGTGTGGTGACACACGCCTGTAATCCCAGCACTGGGGAGGCTGAAAAGAGGAGGATCCCTATGAGTCCAAGATGTACAGTGAGACCCTGTACCAAATACATGAAACAAAAATTCATGCAGGGCTCCTTTTAACTTGGAAGTAAGGACCTCTTGCAGGCCAATTAAAGCTGAAACAGAAGGGGCCCTCTTCAGCAGTCCTTGTCACACCTATTACACTAACAGTGGCAGGGATAGCTGGAA